ATCTTTCTATATGTCATGAGTGCCTGAATGAGAAGACTTTCTTTGACATAGTCTGAATGAACCCTTGCATGAGTGTCTGAACAAGTTAATGTGCTCAGTGTGTAATTACTGTATGTACTCCTCAAGTGGCTTTTCATCCATTCTTTTATAATTTTTGATTATGGTTTTTGTTCCAAAACAAAAATCATAATCAAAATTTTGTTTATTTTATTCGTATTGTTTGAGAAGATCACGTGGTGTGCTTACCACTACGTCAGTGCACAGTGAGACTAAGTTTGGTTTTAAGTATCTGTTTTTAGAAGATAAAAGTTTAGTTGTGGAAGGAATTTGAAAATGTATTTTATTTATTTTTTGTGTATTTTCGAAGTCTCAACAGGATGTCTCCGCCTAGAATTGATGAGGTGTAAGCCACTATCAATTGTCAGTATTTGATGGACATCCATTAGACATTTGATGGCTACAGAATGTTACCTTTCTTTCAGGTTTGTTTGTACTGGTGTGTTGTGTGTTTGTGGCATGTTTATGCGTTGTGATTTTTTGTCTGTGTTGGTTAAGTCAGCATGTTGATTTTGTTTTTCCAAAAGGGCAGGTTTAATCCTATTAATGGCAATGGTGTCTTGTTTGTTTCCATTGTGTATTGTAAAATATTTCTCTGCTTTTGCAATTACTTTTTATGGAGAAACACTTAAAGCAAATTATGAAGATTTTTTGTAAGTGGTTTCTTAACTGCATCTCTTCATATAAAGACATATTTGCAGTTGTACAGATTTTGACGTGTGTAAAATTGTTTGTAGTTCACACAGGGATGGTATGTATTTGTGTCAGGTTTGAGCATTAGATACAAGGGAGAAACATAAGGCTTTTGGGATGGTCTAATGATACCTTCCTGTAACATATTTTGGAATTCCTGATTGGCTGTTTTGTATTTTAGAGTGTATAATCTGTTCAGATGCTGTGCAAATTCATGTTGAGTTAAAATGGGAGTGGATTCCATTTACACCCATATGCATCTTGTTGTCCATGTACATTCTTGATATCATGTGAACTGACAAGTTGAAATGGCTGAAGAAATCTATCCCTAATATGGATGTTTTATCTTGGCCTGTATGAATGATCATCTAAAATCTCTTCTCAATCCAACATTGTGTATTAGAGGCCTGTTTTCAAAGCTGGTTATTTTAGTGCTATTTGTATGATTTTGGTGTTGATATACATCTGGATACTAGTGTTAATACACTTATTGCTGCCCCAGTGTTTACTAGGAATCTTTAGCCACTGTTATTATCTTTTATATAGAACAATTGGCATTTGTTGGGCCGAGATACAGTTGCCACCATTACTGACTGGATGACACATTTTCTAAGGACATGGTAAAGTTGAACACCACAGAACATTTTTTGTTCAAATTTAAAATGATACTAGCATGTACCATACTGCCTATGCCATGGGCCTTTCTTGCTTAGGCTTCTTATGTGTGTGTAGTGATTGCTGTTGTATTGTTTGACTCTGTTTTCAGGTATGCAGGATTAGAAACTGCATCTGTTATCTCATTTTGGCTAGTTCATTCTCTAGCTGATGGATATCTTCTTTTTTGACTTAGTCATTTGGAGTGAGCATGTTTATTGGTTAAGGTATAACTCATGTAGATTCTGTTGGCAGTATCAGCAAGCTTGTGGTTTCTTGTGTCCTCTGCCAGTGTCACTAATATTTGAACCATAATAGGGGATAGCATGTCAAGCCAAATCTGTTTAAGAAGATCTTTAGACATTGAGTGCCTGACTTAAATGTCCTATTATGTGTTGGACTTCTGCCCCTGATTTCTATGTTGTTGAACAGCTCTCTTAAGATAGCTTCTTCAGATCTTCCTATTCATTTAATTATGGCTGTTTTTGTCATATGGGTTGGTTTATAGGACATTTTCTAATATATCAGCAATTTCATTGACCATATCTGAAGAGAAGATCCCCACCACGTGGTGAATTTTGTTCACCATTTACATTATTCGGACTATTGTCCTCATCTTTGTTGCCATATTTATCACAACGTTTCAGCCATTGTACACTCCAGCCTTCTTCAGGTGGTTGGAATGTCGAACTGAACCCTTTATTTCACTCGCTGGAGTAGACTGTTCTAGTTCCACGTGCCACGTCTAATGGATGTCAGATATCAGTTATCTCCTGTTAATTCTCCTATCCACGTTCTTCACTACCTTAACCAGGTATTGAACTCACACTCTTTGGGTCCTGTCACTGGATCTAACCAACACCTTTATCCATTGTATCATGTGTCCTTAAGGACATCTGTGTATGAATTTCTGGGATGTTTCTGTGATTAATATGGCAACAAAGATGAGGACAATTGTTCGAATAATGTAAATAGTGTACATAATACCTCATTGCAGAAATATAGACAGATAGTGAATTTTGTTGTTTGTGATGTGATTTTTCTCACTGTGAAAATAGCATGTGGTCACAGGAACCAATTCCTGGTATTGTACACATTGTATGGTGGTAGATGCAGGGTCAAAGATACTTCTTTGGTGTTGGTAGCCATTATTTCAGGTGTTAAAATGTGTGTGTGTGTATATGTTCATTAGAGTTACCACTTGTTGCACTGGATATTGCTGATATTGGTCATGTTTCAACAGATGAGTGAAGGGGCTTACTACTGATTCTTATGAGGTCCCTTTAGCTGACATAGATGAGTGTTTAAGCAGGTATTTGGTTTTGTTTTGATCACTCTTGTATGGTGGTGTGAGTGCCAAAGTGACGAGGCTTTCTTCAGCATAGCGTTAGTCCTTATGTGAGCATCTCAACAAGTGAATACATTCAGTATACTCACTGTGTGTGATCCTCAAGTGGCTTTTGATCCATTCTTTTATAGGCTGGAAATAGGCTCCAAAACACAAACCAAAATTTAATATTTTTTATCATGTTCCTATTGGCTGAGTCTGTGTTGTGCTTATGTTGATGCATGGTGACACCAAGTTTGATTTTAGCCTCTGTTTTTAAATTTGATGAAAGACACATAGCACAGTGGATAAAGGCATTAGTTAGATCCAGTGACAGGACCCAAAGAGTGTGAGTTCAATACCTGGTTAAGGCAGTGGAGAACTTGGAGAGGAGAATTAACAGGAGATAGCTGATAACTGACATCCATTAAACATGGCACGTGGAAGTAGAACAGTCTACCCCAGTGAGTGAAATAAAGGGTTCAGTTTGACATTCCAACCACCCGAAGAACGTACAACGTCCGAAACATTGTAATAAATATGATGACAAAGATGAGGACATTAGTTTGAATAATGTAAATAGTGATGAAAGTTTAGTTGTGGAGGGAATTTGAAAATTATTTAATTACATTTTGTGTATTTTTGAAGTCCCAAACAGACAAAGACGCCTCTCTTTATGAATTATCCACCTGAAAATGTTGTAAAATGGATCAGCTAAAACATTGTCATGACAACATCAAAAACACAAATAAGAAGTAGTTTTGTAAATAATACTTAGAAAGCTTTAACTAGTCTGGTACAAGTCCACAACTGCAGGATCAAACTTAATGTATCAATATTTATCTGTGTAACTAACTTGCTCATCTTTGTTCTATGGTGACCATTCTATAAAAATATTTACTAGACTTTACTGTTGTCAGTAAATTAGTGAAGTAAATAAATCCAACAATTGATTAGTGAAGTGTCATTAAAATTCCACTCTTTGTTTAAAAAATTCAAATTCTTTGTGGTGTTAATGTTGTTTTAATCAATCTGCTCAAGTGTATAATGCATAAAGGAAGAAAAACCTTTTTATTTTCCTGGACAAAATAGCAAACCAGTTGTCATCATTTTCTGTTATTATCTTGTTCAGGAAAAAGGACCTTTCTCATTTTTTTTATTGATTATGTACCTGAAGAAGGCTGGAGACTAGACTACTTGAAATGTGTTAATAACATCAACAATAATCCAAAACATCTTCAATTGTCCAAAAAATGTTAGGAAAACAAAGAAGGTTGTTATAAAAGTAGTTTAGTTTTGATACAAGACCACAAGCATGGGATACCAAGTGGGAATCTTATTCAAAGTCACTACTAAATAGCATATATAAAACCAGCTTGTTAACCATTACACCACAAAAAGAGGTGCTAAGTTCTGAAAAGTGTTTGGGAAAGAATCATATAACTTACACATTTACTTTCCTGTTTTATTACTTTCTCTCATTATAGTTATTTTTCCTTCTTCTTAGAGCTTCTCTTTTCTAAATGTCTTTTTCATTTTGAGAATCAAACCAACTATATACTGACCATGATCTATGAGTTGGATGACTGTTCCTTTTATACAGTCATCTCTAAATACTTTCAAATTTTAAAAAGTTGCTATTGTATATCATTATAGGAAAAAGTATTTCTTAATTTATCCTTATGAAGTCTAATAAAAAAAAATATACAATAAGCAGTCTGTCACACTGACAAATTTTGATGAGAAGAAACATTTTTTAAAATGTCTCGAAACAGTGTACACTGCAGTCATGCCATGTATGTATGTATACGTATATGTATGTGTGTATCTCTTATTTTACGCTCTTCGTCAAAACAAGATTGCAAGGAAAATAATAACACAAGCAGACAAAATATAAATAAATATTAGCATTTATCAAGTTTGAGTGTAACGGAATAGCGGTTGACGCGCGAGAATGCATTTGCGAACGTTAATCTCTATACCAAAGTTTGATTAAATGCGCGCCTCAGTCGCTAGAGGTCGTTGGCGTCGGGTTCCGCGTTATCACTGAAATCATCATCAACGAAACAAATATACGAGAGAGGGGGCAAGCTGTTTGTCATCATCGCCAGCAACAGTAAAACTAAAGAGAGGTGCAAAAGCAGCTTTCTCTTTTCTCTCAGTCAAGCCATTATTAGCATAATAGGTTTGTGGCGTGTTGGTAAGGCCCTTACCTATTGCTGGTCGATTGGTAATAATTAGTTATTTGTCTTAACGGCTCAGCTCAAAAATGACCACACAGGGCCATAGTAAAAAGCGAATTTGTTATTACTACGATGGTAAGTCGAAAATGTATTTTTCTTTATTTAATTTTTTTTTTTTTTTCAACCTTACCTTTCCTTCCGGGAAACTTAGAGTTGTTTAAAACTGGGGGTTCAGTTTTTAGTGATGATCAGTTGTAAATTGATCCTCCATTTTTATTTTTATGATGGGTTTCCTAAGTCATGCTGAAGTTTGAAAATGGATAATTTCTGATGCTACAACCGAGTTTATCTTTGTTCCTCGCTAAACAAAGCGGAAGAAATTAATTTCTTTGAAGAAGCCGTTTGTTTTTATTATTTACCATCGTGAAAATATATTTTGGTCTATTTTTTTTTTCCCCCACTTGATATAAATAGGAAAAACAAAAAACTGAGTAACTAAACTAAAGTTGAATGTGTGCGTGTGTATTACTGTTAGTGTTATACCATTTTTTTTTTTTTTTAAATTCTTTTTCAAATGAACTTTCTTCAACAACATCTTTTCATTCTAAGCATTTGGATACGGGTGAACAAAAGGAACACTAACAGTCTTGTTCGTTGTCTATTGTTTTTATTGCTCTGGGTGACCCATGAAAATGTCAGTGTACCGAAAATTTCACGTAATGAACTGTAATTGTCTTGTTCACATTTAATTGAATCAGATAATTGTGTATACACCCCTCTAGATTTCTTATTTCATTTTTAAGCTTTTTTTTTTTTTATTATTGAAAGTTTTTTTTTTTTTTTTTTTTTAAGTTGTCCAGGCCATCGGAAAATTATAGTAAATAAATGATGTCTACTATCAAAGTCAGAATTTCATGTTTAATTATTAAAATAATTGAAAGTCCCCTTTTAATATATATATTTTTTACAGAATATTTTGAAACTTAATGATTATTGTTGTACGAAGTCAGAAAATTTGGATAAAAAAAACAATAATAATGAAATTTCGTACGTTTTAATTTTAAATAAACTTTTTAAAAATTATCAAAAAAAGTAGATTGTTGGAATTTCATAAGGAAATTTTTTTTTTTTATATGCCTTTAAATTTTAGGATTTTTTTTTTTCTTTCTAAAAAGGAAAATAATCGATTATTTATTTTCAGTTCGTCTTGCAGCTTGCTACTCATCTTTGAATGGTGGCGATTGAAGATATGATCAATAACTTAAGTATCAGTAGATCAGAAAGGAATTAAAAAATATAACTTAAGGATAAACGAATATAAATATTTTTCATCAAATTGTTCAAGGTTGGCGGGGAGCTGGGGGTACTGAAAAGTTCTCTGCCCGATTCACTTTCAGACATTACTTTTTTTTTTTTTTTTTTAAATCTCTTCGTGGTCGGGCCGAGAACTTTTCAGCAGCCATCCGTGTGTATTTGTGTTTTGTTAGTAAAATTTTATTTTTCTAATCTTCACGTTTACTCGAACTTAAGATTTTTATTAGTTTTCTGATTTCCTTGTTGTTCGACTCTTCATAGCCCAAATCTTGACTATTTTCAGTGGAATTTGTGAACCAATTTTTATTTTTTTCTTTGTTAAAAAAACACAACTTTTGTCATCTTTCACATACATTTTTTTTTCCACGATACCCAACATTTAACTATTTTTTTTTTAAAAAGATAAATTTCATCTTTCGATCATGTTTTTAACTGTTTCGTGTTTTCCCCGTCTGCCTCTTGAAAAACTAAAGGAGAAAAAGAAAAGAAAAAGAAAAGCCGGCTGCTTGCTTGTGTAGATTTCGAGTAACTGTTATAGCAAGTATGGAAGCCCCTAAAGCCAGTTTCTGATGACCGCGTTTGCAATTTCACTCCAACATCTTCATTGAATTTTTTTTCTTTTTCATTTTCATTAGTGCTATATATTTTCTCGATCATTAACTTCACGCCTTTGTTTCGATTTTTCAATTATTTCCTTGCTTTTGTACGACGAAAATAGACTTGGATTGACTTTTTCTAAAGGAGTGGGGACGGTGCAAATCCGAAAACCTGATTTATTTTTTTTATTATTTTTATTTTTTTTCTCCTCCAGTTTGCTATCCATTTTATTCAGAATATTTTTATGGCTTTTATATCGCTTATATTGATAAACAGAAAACATTAAACAATAATTCCGAGTCTGCACGTGTAGCTTGTTTAATTTTTTTTTTTTTTTTTTATGCTCTCGTTTCCCCACCAAAAAAAAAAAAAAGTATGGCGGTCCAATTTTTAACACTTTTTAAAATTTATTTTGCTCATTTAAAAAAAAAAAAAATTAAACAATCGACCTTGGTTTAACCATCGCCTTCTTTTCGTTTGCTTACAAAAAAAGAAGTTTATTTCACTTACAACAAATTTTATAGTGAGATTTTGATTTAGTTATTTTCCCCCTCTTCTTCCTGTTCATGAATGTGAAGACACGGCCCACTGACAATGCGTTGTTGTTTTCAAGAATTTGGTTATTTACTGTTAGGATTGCATGTAAATGCTCTTTGTAAACGTGACTTTTTTTTTTTTTTTTTCTTCTTCCTTTTTCACTACATAATCTACGTATTTAAAAAAAACTTCTAAAAAAAATTTAGATGTAAACTTTTTTTTTTTTTTTTTTTGACATCAATATTTGAAACTTATCAGTATCACAGATTTCATTGAATTCAATAAAATATATTTAAAAAAATCTTTGTAGGCGAAGTTTTTTTTTTTTTTTTTTTTTTATTTAAAACTATTGCTTACCACCTCAGTGGAGAGGAAAAATATCATTCATGTTCTAGTGGATCTTTTTCCTAATCTGAATGGAATAATTTGTCTGTAAAAAGAATCCAGAAATAATAAACCTCTTTCTTTAGTCTTAGGTTTTTGAAATTGTCATTTATCACAATTTGTTTGTATGGATTGTGGCAAAAATAAACTATTACTGTAGTTTTTAATTTTAAAATATCTTCCAAATCTCTTCTCGTTGCACAGAATTTATTAAACATTGACAATTGACATCATCAAGCTTTAAATTTGTCTTAAAGGAGGTGGCGTTAAAGAACTAGTTTTAAAAATTAAGTTTTTGAAAACTGATAGAAAAAACAATTTTATTTTTGTTTTATTATTTTTTAAATGGTGAAATCAACCAAATTAAAAAAAAAATACTATGAAATGAAACTATTTGATAATTATTAAAGATGAAATGTCAATTAACCCCCCCCCCCAAATAGTGTAGGGTGGAGATCTGGAAATTTAAGATAAAAATAACACTAAATTACAACTTTGCAATATACCACTCTCTCATAAAGCAGTTGTAAGTCTTTGTAAGAAATTTGATTTGAAAATGCTCCATTTTCTTGTATAACAGAATTTAAAAATTCACTTTGTGTGTGTGTCTCTCTCATTTGAATATTTAAAGTGAGATTGGTGTACCATGCTTAAGTCATGTCATTCACTTTCACACAAATGACATGAATCCATCTCAATGTTATGGGTTATATATCAGAATTAATTGGGTTCTCTAGCATTGGTTGGCAGCCAGTCTAAGTGGAGGACAACTCTGCAGTGATTGAAATCTGCAAAGTGACAGACCTGCCTAATTAGTAGGATGGTGACAAATAATGGCTAAAACAAAAACACTTACAAACAGAACCATATTTACACCTAACTGTATGGTTGACTAAGGAGATTTAAAATATCTGATTTTTGCTAATTAATTCCTTTGTTTTAGTTAGTTTCCAAAATGATCAGAAAAGTACTATGGTAGATAGTAAACAAAATAAAAACTTTTTACTGCTAGAAATTGACTTTGCTGATTAAGTGAAAACTGAGGAATTTCAAATTCTTATTTGGCTACTTTAATTTGAAATTTTGTGAAATTTTAATATTTCATATTGAATAACATTTAATTATAATTTTGTCAAATTTTATTAAAAACTTATAATTGATCTTATTTTCTAAAGAGTTTCCGAAGTTAGTGTCACTTAAGTTTGAACCATTCACCACCATAATACAGCTTTTCACTTTGGATGTTAGTTCTAATTATTTTTAATACAAAGAAAGATGCTTCAATTAAATCATTGAATGATGATATTTCAAAATAGCAAAGATGACTAGAATGTTAGTCTGAAAGAATGAATAAAGAAAACTTTATTTACTGATATTGTGCATAGTTATTTTTATTCAAACCCAATAAATTTAATGATTTCTTAGTTAACCCCTCAATCCAAATGCAAATGTAGCCGTCTCTTCTACTCCAATAGCTTCATGTCTCGCACCTCTTGCCTGTGGAACTCCCTTCCCTATTCCAGTTTCCCTGAGAGCTATAATCTCCAACTATTCAAATGTAATGTCAATCGATATCTCCAGTTGTCTTGATGTATCCACTATCCTTCTCCTCATCTTTTCCTCTATCACTCCTATCTGATCTTGCTCCAAATCTTCTGTAACCCCTTGCATCCTAGGGGCTTCCTGCCTTGCTTGGGGTGAAACGCTTAAAAAAAAAAAGAAAAAAACAAAGGCAAATTTTTGTATAAATCCTTTTATTATACTTAAGATTTAAATGTCAGAGAAAGACTGATCAATGCTCAAAAAGAGAAGAGGATGTTAATCTGTATAATTCAATGAGTAAAAGATAAGATTTCATTTTTGTCTACTAATACTGATCAAATTCATTTTTCTTCTGAAAACATTCAAATATTATTTTTTCATTTTTGAAGCAAACTGTGCATAGTTTTTGTTCACAACTTCAAGGAATAATTATTAACAATAAGTTTTCATATGAATAATAGTTGTTCTAATTGAACTTTGTCCATTTGATGAAATCATTCAAAAGAAAAAAAAGTGATATTAGATGCCAATTGTTTCTCATCTCTTTCAGAATTTTTTTTCATTTCCTTATTTAAACAGCTTTAGATGTTTTGTCAACCTGCATCTTAATTCTACATTTGTTTCTGTCAAATTTAGTGAAAAAGTCCTATTATATTTGGCAATATTGAAACCAACTTCATTAGTGGGTAGGCTTATCGTTAGTCACCATTTCCACTTGTGGCAGGTTGTAAGCTAATATGGCTATTTCCTCTCCATTTACA